TTTTTTTTTTTATATTTTAAGATATGTCAAACAAATAACTTTTTTTGGCTCAAACTTTTTATTTATTAAATTTGTTAGAAGCCTCAAAAAATAGATTTTACTCATGATTAACATTCAAATATGTTATTCACACCAAAAAAAAAAAAAAAAAAACATTCAAAAATGTCTAATTGCGTGTTGAACGGGAATCATCGTCAATGTTTTTCACAATTGGACTAGGTTAAAAAAAAAAAATAACAATTACATATTGGGGGTTTAAGTGCAAAAAACGAGAATATAAAGGACAATACAAAAAAAACTTATCGTACTCTCTGAGTACAAAACATGTAAACTCGCTGTCTCCGCTGGCCACGTTACCGTGCCGTACTCAGCCGGACCCAACACTATTGGCTAGTTGGACGTGTAATCAGATCCAAATCATCATCTCATTACGTGTCACTTCATAAAAGCGAGTACAGAGATTGTCAACAAATCAGCGCGTACAGCAACCTCGTACTCAAAAAGACCCCCGGTTTTTACACAAAGGCAGTATCGTATTGGAGGGGGCTCACTAAAATTTTAACAAAACAGAGCCTTCATAAGCTCTCTCTCTCCTTATCTCTCTCTCTCTCTCTTTCTCTCTCATACACTGTCCCTCATTTCACTCCTCGCGTCTGTCTTCTGTCTCGATTTCTAGAGAGAGAAGATCGATTGATATATATAGAGAGAGAGTCAGGCGGCCGTGTTCGGACATCAATGGCGTTCGTATCGTTCCTTGGGAGAGTCCTGTTTGCCTCTGTTTTCATACTCTCTGCATGGCAAGAGTAAGCTTTTTTTTTTGCTCTTCTTCTTCTTCTTCTTCATACAGCCCCAATTTTCCCTTCTTCCTAATTTTTTAGATTGCCTAGGGGAATGGAAGAAGAGGAAGCAGAGAGGAGGGAAGAAGAAGAAGAAAAAAAAAAATGCCAAAACGAAGTCGTTCCAACAATTGAGCTATTCGAGACAATGAGTTTGTTGAGCTACCCAGCAGCTCCATTTTTAATATGACGACAATGTCCTTACCTCTCAGTCCGATTGCTCTATCTACCACCTGATAACAACAAATCTTTTACAAAAAATTCATGTGTGCGTTAGTGTTAAAACTTTAAAAAACTTATAACTTGAATTCTATAAATTCATCATCATAGTATTTTTTTTATACTTAGGTGGTATATTATAAGAGTTTATTTTTTTTTAACAGAGTTATATCAACATGTATTTTTTATTAATTACATATAGAGTTCTACACAAACATAAACCTAATTTAAATTATATTAACTTTACCTACTTTATATGGACTTTATTTGACAAATATTTATTTTCCATATATTTTTCACCGTAAATTGAATTTGTGTTTCATGTTTTTATTCTTAATTCTTTCAAGGGTATTAGGATTTTTTTTTTAATGCTAAATTTCCTCCCTTTTTTTTTCCTTTATTATTTTCTCATACATTATTCTTTACCCAATACCAATTCAATATTATTCTATATTATAGATTTGTAATTTTATAGTGATTATATATATGAAATTATACTTCATTTCAACAATGATACTCTCGAGAAACCTCTAAAGTTTGGATTTACTACTTGAGTTACTTTTTCAATTGTTGAATAGTAAGTTTTATTTCTATATTTTAACATCATATTATAGATGATTAATCACTTTACACACTGAGATGATAGTCTGGATGTTTTTATTATTTGTTCTTTTGTGGTTTAGATGTTGTTATATGATTCTTTCTTAGTTAGTCATTGTTAAATTTCTTTTATATATTTGATATTTTAATTTAATTAAGAATGTTTATTTTACAATCTTATAGTTTAATATATATATATATATATATATCATAAAAAATCATTATATGATAATTACACTTTTATAGAACAATAGAACTAAAATTATCAAAATAAACATATAATTTAACTAAATTTATTATATATAAGTGTTCAAGTAACACTTTTATAGAACGATAATGCTAATGTTATGAAAATAAATAATTTAAATTTAAATTAATTTTATTTTTTTGTAATACATGTCATAGTATGAAATATCATTACATTAATTAAAATTATCTCCATTGTGATTTTATCTCGGACATCGTATTTCTATAAGTGATTTACATACATGTGCAGTGTCCAATTTAATATTGATTGAATAAATAAAATATAGAACTCAATACTTTTTTTGTTAAATTTTTAGAAGATAAATTAATAAATGTCAAATGATAAATAGTGTGAGTATTATTTTAAAGAATCATGATTCATTGAAAATGATGATATTTGATTTCAGGTTGAGAATATATCCCCCTTTTTTTTAACTTTAAAAGAAATTATTTTTATGAGCGTATTTTACATAGGATCACATACAGTGATAAATTTTTGTATCAACCACTAGATTGTTAATATTTGTTACACATAGAGTATTAAGACTTAAAATTAAATTTTCATTTTAAAAATAAATTTCATACATTATACAAATCACATACTAGTGGATAATAATAAAAGACTAATTTCAGTTTAAATAGGAGACACAATTCACTTTGGATTGTGATTCTCATATATCAAATCAATCCTGTCCCATTCCTTCTTGAACTATATATGTATTTGGATTCTCTAATAATTTCATTCTCACTCATCATCTCTCTCTCTCTCTCTCTCTCTCTCTCTCTCCAACCATGAAGAAGAACTGTGTGCTACTCTTCTGTATTGTTTTCTTCCTTGTTTCTGGAATATCAGTAGAGTGTCACAATCAAACTTTTAATGTATTAGATTTTGGAGCGGTTGGAGATGGATCTACTGATGACACCCAGGTCAAAAATATTTTCGATTTTTAATTTTTTTTAATAACATTATTATTGTTGTTTGAAAACTTCTTTTTTTATGGATTTGTTTTGGCACTTCACTTCTCTTTAGTTCAGTTTCACAATTTTTTTTTTCTTCTCTCAGTGAAGAAAAAAAAAATCACAGAAAGTACAGTACAGATGAATGCATATGCATTGCACCATTACATTATTTAATTTTATTTTATGTAAAAGCTTATTTGTTTGTATTGTTATATTGTTTTCCAAATATCATGGACCACTTCAAATTATTATCAATTAAACTTATGTTTATATATATTTATAGTATTATTAGTTGGACTCCCACGCGCGGAGCGCGTGGGAGTCGTGCTATTATTGACTGAGAATAAGATACATCACAATATATAGTATTCTTAAGGTGTTTTTAGATAATTTTAGGGTCATAATATCAATCTACAAATAAATTTGATTAGATATAAAAATTTAAGTTTGAGAGCGTTAAATTCAAATTAAGAATCACCTCTCTCTCTCTATATATATATATAAAAGGAAGTGGATACTTACCAATCAGACCAATTAATTGGACTTATTTATTACCAATTCTAAATTTTTCTTCACTTACTTTTTCTGCCTTTTGGGTACTAAGAAGATGGATTGTTCTATACTTGCATACTAATGGTATACAATAAGTTTTTCAACAGCATGATTGATGGGTTGTCTCGGAAACATCTTCAAACACCTGACTTGTCAAATTCTTGTGGTTTCTTGTTACAAACAAGAGGGGAAATCCTAACAAAATAGAAAGGTTAGACAAATGTTTCACTCAAATAAAAAGTGAAATGATTGAATCTACATACCATATGAAGAATTACTAACAAAACAAATCATATACCATAACAATATTTATATCTATGTCAAACCTTGTAGCCAATGAAGTATTAGTCTCTTTGACAAATCCTCAAATAGCTTCTATGCACAAGTTTTGTATGCCCAACGAGACCATTGTCTATCAAATACAAAATAATCATTGAACAAAGATACATATATATCATAGAAAATTGAACACACGACGTTATAGAGAACCGCTAATAAAAAAATTCCATAGCTTTTGGTCCACTATCCCGATCATGATTTTCCTACCCCCAGAAGGAAAGGTCCTTACAGGTTTTTCAACTTGAATTGATTGCTCAAATAAGTGAAGAATGACAAGGCCTAAACCAAAGCAATCAAGGGTTTGTGTGTGTGTGTGTGTGAGAGAGAGAGGGGGAGATCGATTGAAGACGTGGTTGATAGATTGAAGACCCATATGGCTTCAGATTTGTATAACCAACAAGATTTGTATAACCAACAATGAACTCCAAGTGGTAGTTAAAGCCATATTGCAAATCAATAAACTATGTAATCAGGACAACATAAACAAGTTTTTAGAAAAGAAAATTAACAATTATGCTTTTAAGCTAAGACAAATATTAGATATGTATTCCTCCTCTAAACAAAGGGATTTATATAATGTGAGCAAACATAACCAAAAACCATAATAAAATCTATTGTACCAGAATGTTATAGACTACAGTGTGCTACTAAAAAAGCAAACACAGGCCACAGTTTTTAATTACACTACATGAATACTTCAAAATGTGTGAAAAACTTATCTTCGATATGATGGGATGTGTGCCTACTACACTCTCATTTGAACATATTCCCGAGAGATATCATGTGAGCCAGCAATAGGAGTTGGACCAATAGAAATGTCAGTACCTTCCTTGGAAAACTTTCAATGTATCTTGAGGATTGAAGACTTAGCTCTGTGTTTTCTTCTCTCTTTTTTTGTTATTTTATGGTAAGCATTTATTACCAAAGAAGAAGGAATATACAATAAAGCTCAAGACACATGTCCAAAGGATATACGAGGAAACGACTTGAGAGGCCCACTACCTTTCAAAAATAAGACAACTTGAAACTAAGATTTGTTTGGGATGACCTAAATAAGTGTACTTTTTGTCTTTTTACGAAAAGATGTGCAGAAAAATAGAGAGGTGATGTGATGAAAAAAAGATAAAAAGATGGATTATTTTGGTGTTGCCAAACTTGGCCTAAGTTTCATCTTATTTAGTTTCTTCCTTAAATCAAGAGTAACTTAATAAAAGTTTCCATTTGCGATTCATTTTGCGTATGGGTTGTAAGTGCGACAGCTTATGAACTCGTCAATTGGGTGCCGATGGGTGTTTATTTATACAGATATTTATAATATGAGCTCTCTTGTCTGGTTTTGTTGTATATTTTTTGTGGGTGTAGTTTTCTATCGCAAGTGTCAAAATTCCTTTTTCTTTAATTTTGGTCACTAAAAATGAATTGAGCTGGTTGATCTAATCAGAGTTATTCAAAGTTTTTATTTTGCCTTTTCAATTATTTTAATCTTTCTCACTATCCTACTTTTGTTCCTACTATGATTAAAGACATCAATTTAGACAAATTACATGTATGAAACTTATCCTCAAGATCATAATATAATTTTTTTTCCAATAATCTATTAGACTTTCAACACAAACCAGATAAGTACTGCTGGTGTTGGTGTTGGTGGTGGTGGTTCTATGTGTCATTCATTTGAGCATATAGTCGAGCACATGATGGGCCAAAAAGAAATTAGAAATTAATAACATGCTGAAGTATCATACAATAGAACTTTAAATTCAAGTAAGAAAAAACTCACAAGCCATATTCCATAACCTCTTTGCAATTCAACAGTTAATCCCATCCATGAATCAATCGCCACATGAAGCCCCAAAAATCAATTAGCAATATTCATGATTTAAATCGAATCAAGGGTTTGTGTAAGTGTGTGTGTGTGTGTGTGAGTGTGAGAGAATGTGGAGGAAACAAGGTACACCAATAATTGTAAATCAAATACCATGAATGGTGGAATTTCTTTGTTTCTAGTGTCGTGTGCGTGGCTCAGTTGAAGGCCGTGTAGCCAGCACAAATCGGCTTTACAAACCAAAGCAACAGCTGCGTTACACCATAAGCAGCTGTGTTACACCATCCTTACACTCTTTTTATGTAGGTAATAGATATAAAATTTACACTGTTACGTAAAACTTTTTATCTAATTGGTTAGATTAAATTCATACCAAATATATATATATATATAGGTTATAGAAGAATTGATGATTGTAAGGAAAAATAAGTTAGATTCCTAGGGTATTAGCAGAAAAGATAATAACTCAAAAAATATGTTAAGAAATTTATCTCGAAAAGTGAAGTGTTTTGATTCAATTTTTGTACAATGAGATCTACACTTAATCTGAATTACACTAGACTTTTTTTTTGGATTAATTTTTTAAGTCGATAACATTGCTATTATATTATTAATAATAATAATTATATAAAAAAAAAAGATGCTTATAAGCTTAGTTGTGTGTGCAGTCTTTTGAGGATGCATGGAAGGCTACGTGCTCGGCAAGAGAAGTTTCAGGTTTTAGTCCAACCATGCACGTTCTTGATAGCTATAAGTTCTTGCTACAACCTGTAATCTTTAGTGGCCTTTGCAATTCCGAAGCCGTTAACGTCGTGGTAATTACAATTTTAGATTCATAAATTTTCTCATATCATATGTCATCATTATAGGTCAAATTATTTTTTGCGTCTCAAATATTTTATTAAAATTTTTGTACAACTAAAATCATTAGTACAAATAATTTGAAATATTTACTTTAATATTGTGGGCTTATAATGCCCCAATAACACGGTACAATCTTTCTTTCAACTAGAAAAAAGCAATCCTATCATAGATTTCAATATTTTCATTTTTCTCTTATTTATTTATTTTTAATATATTGTTATTGAATTGTTAAATTGATATGGTTTATTATAGATAGGTGGAAACCTAACCGCACCAAGTCATCCTTCAAAATGGAAGTGCGACAGAAGTAACTGCCAATGGATAGGATTTACTGAGATCAATGGTCTCTACATTTATGGCTCTGGTACTATTAATGCCCAAGGTACCAAATGGTGGGGTTCCTCCAATGTCAATCACACTAGAAAGGCAAGAAGCCTCCTCTCTCACTTCATTTAATTATTTTTAAAATAATTATCACTGTCACACCATTTTAATTTAAATTTGTTGTACAAAATAAGGGGTGGTTTGGCATCCTCTATATAATTCATCTTTTTTATTTTTTTTCATCACATCACCTCTCTACTTTTCTGCACATCTTTTCGTAAAAAGACAAAAAAATGCACTTATTTAGATCATCCCAAACAACCCCTAAATATTAAATCCTTTTTTTTTTTGGGCTTTACTAATATAAGTTTCTTTTCTTCTTTTCAGTACCATGGGTCAAAACCAACAGTGAGTGACACTAGATCCTTTGTTTTTAAATTATTTTTTTCCTATGTTTACATTGTAAGTACTACATAATGTTTCGAAATAATATTTTTGAAAACATTTAATAATTTTTCATGTTTTTACAGGGGTTCGTAATAGCACATTCCAACCATGTGCATATAAGTGACCTAACCTTCATAAACAGCCCTCAAATGCATATGGCGTTGGAAAGGTCGACATGGGTATATGTTTATAATCTCACCATCACTGCCCCCAGCGATAGCCCAAATACTGATGGCATACACATTCAACATTGCACACACGTCTTCATAAGCCAAACTCACATTGGGACTGGTATATTATCAAACATAATAATACTATCTCTCTTAATTTTATACCGTGTGACCGAAAAAACAATTATTGTGCAAGATCTTTTGTTTTGAGATTCCTACATAATTCTACCATTGGAAGCATTTTGCAATGATCCAAAAGATTTGGAACTGAAAGTCGATGCATGGCGCTTTACATATGTATATTTTAATTTGGTTGTTTATCAAATTTTAAGTCAAAAATATTAATGCAGGTGATGATTGTATTTTCATCGGAGATGGTTCATTATATCTCAACATTAGCATGATCACATGTGGACCAGGTCATGGCATAAGGTAACAGGAAAGACCTTTTTATAGTTCCCTCTATCTTTTGTTATTGTTGTTATTATTTTGAAATTGATTTCATTTATTTTTAAATTCCTTCTTTGGTAAAAGTATTGGAAGTTTAGGTATAAAAGGGCCATATGAGACAGTAGAGAATGTCTATGTAAGCAATGTGGAATTCAGAGGAACTTCAAACGGAGCAAGAATCAAGACATGGCAGGTAATTTGTGAACACATGATTATTAGAGTTATGATATCAAGAATATAATATATGAGGCAAATTTGTAAGCTTATCACTTTAATACAAAAAAACTCAATGCCTATTAATATCAATAATGTCATTGTTATATTATTTGATAAATAACTATTTTTCTTGTTAGTTTTGTTGTTAATTATATTGTCCCTTTGGCATGCTTAGGGAGGGAGCGGATTTGCTAAGACACGTGGCACCTCGGCTGACACTTCGGTGACACCTCGGCCACGTGTTGTCATTCAAAAATTATGTCCCCACAGATATATATATATATGAATGACATCTACCTTCAATCGACTCAACTGTGTAAAGAAACGACGTCGTTATGTCAAAATGTTGCTGGAAGGAAAAATGGTCCAGTTTTGCCCAGTGTCCCTTGCTTGACTGATTGATAAATTTGTACTAATTCAAAATGAGTACCATATCTACTATAGTCAATATATAGTTAAATTTATTTTGCTGATTTTCGTACCAACTCAAGGTTTTATTCGTAATAAAGGTATCTAAAGTTTGCTTTTCAGAACAAATGTGCTATGTAATGCTTCGTTAGTCATATGATATATAGATTCACATTTAATATAGGGTGAGTTTTAATTACAATAAATTTAGTTTACGCATTTTATTTTGATCACTTTTTGAAACTATTCTTGTTTTTAAAAAGTTGTCAAGTTCCAAATAATTCCACGTATGGGGCATTTAAAAAAAAAATTAAAAAAAAATCAGTGCAATGGGACTTACTAGCTACTAAGGGTGCTCAGGGAATATTTTGAAACGTTCAAACCAACTAAATCGAACCCGAATCGATTCGTCGCATTTTAGATGGATATGTGATGACAAGCGGACGGTTGCAGATTGATTTTTTTAAATCAACCTAATTATGGACGGATGACGGATTTGAGATTTTTTTGACTACAACCGAACAGCCAAACCGTAAGCACCCCTAATAATTTGTAAGACTTTGTGTTTTCAATTTATTTACATATTTTGTTTGTATTTTCAATTAAAAAAGAGTTTAGATATTCTATTGTATTTTCAATTTGTTTTCAATTTGGAATCCTTTTATCAAATGACAAGTGTTGATATTTAGTATTTTTGTGTGGAAAATATAAGGCTTATTTTCGTCATTTTTTAAAAAAATCAAATTAAATAGTTTTTGAATAAAAAAAAAAGTAATGAAATAGTTTTGATAACGCATGATTTTCTCTGTGCGGGGCGCAAATATTCAGGCAAGCCCGCACTCCTTTCTTCTAAGCTCCGTTTCTATCCGATCACCTGCGTGCACAACAGCAGTGAGCTACCTGGCGGTGTGTGGCTGGAAAACCCCTCCGACGATCAAGTTAGCACACACCTGAGGATAGAGAGAGTGAAGAGAGAGTCAAGTGTAAGTATTTCTCTTACCAAATGTTCGTCTGTCCAGCATGGGGGGCACAGACTTGCTTATATACCTTCTGCGCCCCAAATCTACTCCCAGTGATCTCTCGACACGTGGTTCTGCTATCCCATATGTCAGCACAAATCTTGCTGAACATCACCTAACCCGACTGCCAGCCCACTCTACTGGGAGCTCGGTAGCCGGGCTGAATCTTCACAGCTATCAACGGCTGTGCTGTGCAGCTGGCCAAAGCGCTCCGCTCGCCGTGCTCAATGAGGACCGAGCTCGTCTGCATCCCGACGTAGCCGAGCTCGGGACAATTCATACTGGTTTTACCGTCGGCCTTCCTGCCCGGCTAACTTATGAACCGTGGAACAACAACGCCGTTCCTGGCGCCGGACATCTCACTTGCCCGACCTCTATACCATGCAGCCAAGTAGCTCGGTCTAGCCACGCCTTGCCTTAACCGAGCAAATCCTTTCGGGGCACGGGCTGCGCTACCTCGGCCCAATCTTGTTCGGCCCAAATCTGTCCGGCTATTACCACAGCCTAATCCAGATCATATTTTTCCCTCTCAATTGCCCCTTAATTCTGTCCGCGCCAGCATGACCGAGATTACCTGTTCTGACCGGGATAAACTCTTCCTCGGTTGATAATTTGCAAGAGGCAAACTGGGCTAATTTTCGCGCTCGGTTCCTTGTCTTGCTCGGTCGACGCTTTGTCTGACCTTCCTGTCTCTTCAACTCTGAAACTGCCATTAATGGGGTCACGTGTCAATCTCCCATTGGTCCTCGAGCAGCCAACCTAGTCGTCCCCTGAAATTCGAATTTGGGCAATTTTTCTTCCTCAATAAACATGCCCCCTCCCTGTTTGATTCATTCTCACTAACATTTCTCCGTTTCAAGCGTCTCTGAGCTCTTGCCCTTTCTCTCTCGCCATCCTTGAACTCGCGTTCGAAGAAGGAGCCTCTACCTTTCACTGGTAAGTCCCCCAGCCCTTGTTATTACTGTTTTCATTTCGTATTTTTTTCTTTATAGCACCAAATCCGTAGGTTTTAGGGCCTCCCCCACCCAAAACCTTCAATGCCCCTTAGTTTCTTCGCTGTTCTTCAATTTTCCTGATGAACAATGAAGATCTGGGATGGACCGAGCACTAGATCTTCATCCGATCCAAAAAATCACTCAGACCGAGCAAATCTTTAGTTTGTTCCAACCTTAGGAGAAACCGGGGTAGCAAAAAGGACTTGGCCGCTCGACCGGGCTAATCTCTGGTTCGCTTGGGCGACCGAGCTCCT